ATGTGGGGAGGTGCACAAATCTCGGGCTCAGCAATGTAACCTGTATCTAGGTAATGGCTCCTTTCAGATCATGCTTTTGTCCCAGAGGAGTTGCTTTGGATGCAAAGATTTTTAAGTGGTAATGGGTTGCAAGGGAGCCAGTTACATCCTAATGTGCCTGTGCTTTTTATTTTTTTTACTCTAGTGAGGGCTTGCTTTTTTTTTAACAGGAGATGTCACGGTAATTAATGTGTTGGCTCAGTTGGATGTTGGCATGTGTATGTAATTGGGGGGAAGAGAAGCAGATCGATTCGTTTTGAATCGCGGTAATGATTCAGAGATTCCAAATGCCCCCTGCCTGTTTTGCAGCCTTTGTTTTGTGAAGAATCAAATGGAATGGGGAATGCTGGGCATGTGGCGAGAGCTGCTGAAGGCTCGGGATCGTCTCTGAAGGCTTCTGGGTATCTCTTATACGGTGAATATTGACATGGCTGCTGCTTGAATCATTAGAAGACCGTGGATGGGTTGAGAGCGAGGGATAATCACTGGAGACTGCAAAGAGCCTGGGTCTCTCTCTCTCGCTCTCTCTCTTTTCTCCCCCCTCCTTTCTCGTATTCTCTATTTTTCTCGTTCTATCTGCCTCTGTCTGTTTCTTTCTGTCCCTCTGCTAAGGCTGGTCATAAAGAGATGCTTCTGTCTCGGTTTGTGAAAGGTTCAAGCAGTGCCTAGCTGTTCCCAAGTTCCACACAATAAATAAGCCTTGAATAAACAGAGTGAGAATACTATATTTTGAAATCATACTTCAAAACACTTCCTGCAACCTTTTGTAGTCACTCAAAAATTACATGCATGCAGTAATGAATAATTGTGGAAGCATTTCAATTTGTGTCATACCTGTTCTTCCAGGAAGGAATCCATATCGCAAGGTTGACTACCTTGTTACGTTGCTTTTGTTTTCATCATCTTTGTGTCATGCTTATATTGGCCATCCTGGATTCTGTTACATGGCTCAGTTGGCATGATATATGTTAGCTGGGTAAATTCGGTCTGAGGGAAGCAGAGAACGCAGACAT